GTGTAGGGTAATCTTAGCTTTTGCAGTTCGTCTTTCAACTCTAACACCGTTAGATCATTTGCATCTCTCGTACTCATTTTGCCTCTAGCAAACTCACTAACTTTAGCAAACTTACTAACTTTAGTTACTCACAACTCTTTTTACTTGCTGTTTCAATTAATATTGGCTTAATTGGACGAGCCCCCAAGATTATGTAGAATGTTGGATTTATAATGATTTATTGAAGAACAGCAAATAGTACAGATCGCCCGCGAAGTGTTCTGTTCGACTCGCGAATGAATACTTCCTTGATAGCATCGGCCTTATATATTCGAGCTCGTTTCTCATACAGGCATTTATCACGCATTCATCACGCATACACATACATGTCCATTATTTGGCTTATTTTCAAGTTTGGAATTTTGTTTTGAAAATTGTCTTTGCATTCTTTTCTTGTCGCTCTCTTCTATCACTCATCCATCACGTGCACACACTTGCTCACGCATACTACATGTGTTTATTCATTCCCACAATATTTTTATTCTTTTTCCTAACAATAAATATCAGAATAATACATCCAACAATTATCATAATAGCTATAATTAAGTTAATAACACAATAAAAATAAATAAGTAAGTAAAATAATAAATAAGTTAATAACACAATAAAAAATAAATAAGTAAGTAAAATAATAAATAAGGAGATTAATATACACATAGAAGCCAACAAATTTCTCAATGATACAATTCATCCTTTGGAAAATACTAATAAAAAATGGTTTGTTAATCTGTCCAACACAGATATTCCGCCTAACGTTTCTAATCTGTTGCAAATGGGTGATAAATTCTGTCTTCCGAATATTAATAAAAAAACAGGGATACATAAATTTATCAAGGACATAGAGAGTAATAACAAACGAAATAATATTAATAATCTCACAACAATCAGAAATATCGCGGTTTCGAAATTCGCACAACTTCTTAATACTAAGGATAAAAATGACGTAAGTCAACAAAAATTACTTGGTGCACACAGAGATTTAATAAAATTTTGTAAAGACAATCCGAATGTTCTATTCACACGCGCGGACAAGGGTAATGCTACGGTTGCAATGGAAAGATCTTATTATATTAATAAAATGGAAAATGTTTTAAAAGATGTCAACACTTACACTATTGTTAAAAAAATCCGTGCAAAAAAATAGAGAACGATTTGAATGATTTGTTGAAGAGATGGCTTAAGGAAGATTATATTTCAAAAAGTGAATATTATAAATTACGTTGTAGTGATTCTCTCCTTCCAAAAGCGTATGGATTACCTAAAATCCATAAGGAAAACTATCCAGTTAGAATCATAGTTTCATCGGTTGATACAGCTCTATACTCGCTGGCTTCGTTTTTACAAAACACCTTACGAACTAGCCTACCTAAAGCGAAAAGTCATATTAATAATAGTTTTGAATTGTACAGCACATTGTCTGGTAAAAAGATTGATGAGAATGATAGGATGTTTTTCTTGGATGTGGTGTCTTTGTTTACGAACGTTCCTCTGGATCTTGCGATTGACGGTATTAACGATAGATGGGATCACATTGGAATAAATACTAGAATACCGAAAAACGAATTTTTGGGGGGTATAAATTCATAATGACTTCTACATATTTTACATTTAATGACATAATTTATAAACAGACGTTTGGGACCCCTATGGGGTCACCGTTATCACCAATTATTGCAGACGTGGTTATGCAAGATCTTGAGGATACAGTTCTCAAAGTGTTGAATTTGGAATGTTCGTTTTATTTTCGTTATGTGGATGACATAATAGTGGCCACCTCTATGACTAATATGACTCAGAATGTGAATAATTTTAACAAATATCATGAAAGACTTAAATTCACGGTCGAACAAGAGGTTAATCATAGCTTGAATTTCTTAGATTTATCACTTAAAATTATTAATAACACAATATATATAGACTGGTATCAAAAAGAAACCTTCTCAGGAAGGACGTTATCATTTTATTCAAACCACCCATTATGCCACAAAATTGGAATAATATATAACCTTGTAGACAGATGTCTATTGCTATCACATCCACTATTTTTTAATAAAAATTTAGAGTTAATTATTAATATACTCATAAGCAATGGTTACCCTCTTGATCTGATTTTTAACAAAATTAATCATCGGATAGAACACATCATATCTAAGGGGAGCATTATAGAGAGACAGGCCAACATAGAAAGAACAAAAAGTATAGGAAATGACTCGGTTGATAAAAAATTCTTTGTCATTCCGTATATTGATAGGATCTCAGAAATGATTGTTTCCTCGGTAAAAAATAAAAATTGTATTGTAGGGTATAGATGTCTCAACAAACTGGATAATATTATTAAAGCACAGAAAGATAAAACTAAACATCCATGCAATTCGAATGTGGTTTATAAGATCAGTTGCAATAATTGTAATGCATCTTATGTAGGCCAAACAAAGAGGCAATTGCAGACGCGAATAAAAGAACATAAAAATAATATTAGGTTGGACTCAACGAAACATTCAGTAATTTCTGAACACATAAAAAATGAACACCATACTTTTAATTGGGACAATGTTAAGATCATGGACAAAGAAAATAATTATTATAAAAGACTCATTTCTGAGATGTTACATATCAAGGAACAAAAAAATGGACTAAATTTAAACAAAGATACTGAGTTACTTAGCGAGTCGTATTTTGATATTTTGGATATATTAGCGAACAATAAATAATAATAGGACAAATAGGACATTAACGAGTCAAACATAGATATTAGATCATATATAAACACGCACGCTCTCCGATCAAGTAGAGTTTAAAATGAGCTGTCTTTCTGTATTGTTGGTTCGTTATGTGTCATCCTTAATAACTGTTAATAAGTAGCAAAATTATCAAGAAGGACGATGATAGGTAAGCATATTACCAAGTGTAGGGGATATATATTATAATTTAGACATACGCTAATCGTTAATTTTTTATTAATCGCAGCGCCTACGGAACGGGTTAATTTCTCGCATATTAACGATGAAACTATCCGAGATCTGAGAAAAATCAGAGATCATATCGAGGCGAACATTGTTGGACATGACGAATTAGAACACGTGTTAATTGCTCAAAGACTCTCGATTCTGAATAATTATAATTAAATTTCGATATTATGTGAAGTTGTATGAATTTATATTTCAATAATTATACTGAAGAAGACCGCGTGCGGTCGAAACGTTTATAGAATGATTTTAATTTGCGTTAGTTTTAATATCTAATGACTGTAGTTTTATAATTTATACATGTAATAAATGGTAGTTGACTGAACATCTCGAATATTCAGCTCGATAAGTTGGCCTTAGATTTATCACTTTGTTTTCAATAATAAATAAGTTAATAATACAATATACATTGAGAGAGATCAGAGAGAGAGACAGATAGAGAGAGATATACAACACAGTTACAACACCCATTATGCCATATAATTGGAATAATATATATAACCTATGGAAGATGTTTAATGTTATAAAATTATTAAATAAAAAGTTATATTAATTTTAAATACACACATTGCAATAGTAATACATCTAAATAATAATTATTAAATAAAATTAAAATACTACATATATATATAAAAATTATTAAAATGAAGTATATCAATGCACACAATGCAAAACTGCAATTTTTTTAAATCTGCCTTGAGAAAATACTATCAAAATACTGTATTTGTCTTTCGATTTAATTTTTGCGAATTGATATCTTTTTTTCAATTTTGTCAGAATTCTGCATTATAAAATCCTAATATATATAAACAAAAATTTACACAATAAAATCAATATATACTCTTTATATAATAAACAAAACAAATATATAATTAATATTCAGAAATTAATAAAAATAGAACAATATTTCTCTTTTTCTTCGCTTTCCATAATAAATATTAATTTTCTGCAGATATTCTTCTTGATATACCTGTATGTATATATACATATATTCCGAAATTATATATTCCGAAGAAAAAAAAACAGAAAATATAAGCGTAGAAATTTATTATAAAACTGTAAATTTACAGCGTCGTATACATTGATGTTTTGTAGAAAATCTTATTCTTTTTTTACATACAATTTTAAACATTCTTACTAGCGATAATAAAACACTAATTCTTATTCTACTAATATTGTTTGGTGTTCAACAGGAAAAACTGTTTTGCAACACTTGCAAAGCTGCTTTTTTGCTGAACGCAGTCATTGATATATTGTGGAACACATAAATGAATTAATTTGCAGTTTTTTATATTATTACAAATTACGAAAAACAAAATATGAAATATAAAGTTCTAGATTTCAATATTCTTACATTACTGCATTTCATGTAGTAATTGAAAGAACAGAAATCTGAAAATTTTATTTTTATTTATATATTTCATGGTCACATAAAATCGCTCGTATATTCTATATGTGCATATGTATATGTATATATATATGTATATATATATATATAATATATATATATATATATATATTTCAATAGATAACATCTTTCTTTAGACAAACAGAGAGTGAGAGAGACAGACGAAGATGCAAGGATAATAAAGCAATTTGAGAATAAAAGCAATAAGAAGAAAAGTTATTTAATAAAAACCCGGCAACAGACGCTACACAGTTTAATTTATTGAGGCAGCGATAACCCACTTTAAATTCCGATTTTTTGATAGAAGATGCAACTAGTTCAGAAATGTTATTTATGTATAGAATCACAAAGAATTTATTTGTTTTATTTTCGTTGGTTTCATTATCAATTATTGTGTGTGATTTTTTATTAAAAATAGTTTTATTCCTGCGATTAATTGTCTCGAAAATCAAATGTAGTGGATATCCGTTGCTCAATTAATAGAATATTAATATTATAACTATATGTATGTTCTTCTTCTGAAATTGAGGATGTGACAAAAGAACCGCTCTAGCAAGTATATAAATTTTCATGAAAAACAAAACATATATTCGCACATCTCTCTTTTAATCATCTGTTGTTTACTTTCCACTCATTACAAACGTATTTGCAAGACTTCCACGAACTCCCAAGCCCTTCACTGCGAATAGAGAACCAGCATAAGGAGTTTCCTTTCGTTGTTGTTCAGTTAATTCGTAGCCCGAGGTAGTCACATACAGAATATCAAGAAGCGGACCACCAAAAGCGACACTGGTTACATTTTCAGCTGGAATCTTAACTTTTCTCAATACTTCTTGTGTTTTTGGATTCACCTGGATGACCTAGATGAAACATTTTCATAATTATATAATTTTTTTCAGTATAAAAATTGTTTTTACATTATTTATAACAAGCGAATTCTGAGACGCTTGAAACATATTTAATTAATATTTAGAAAAATATTAACTTTATAAGGAAATATTTAAAATCAAAAAGATACTTAATAAAACAATTTAATCATATATAATATTGCTTTCAATGATAATAATTATCTTTTTTTTTGTCAAAATTTACTATTTAGATTTCTGTAATAATATATCACAAATAACAAGTCCCTCCTTGCACTTTAAATTATATACTTACTTGATATCCTCCCCATAGTGCTATCCAAAGATTGCCATCTGTATCTATGGTCATTCCATCAGGTAGTCCTTTCACATTAGCCTTATCCAAATCAAATGCAATCCTCTTATTAGCTGAAAATAGAAACATATCTTGATATTTTTGTTTGAAATTTATCATATAATTTTATATGCTTTAATATTTTTCATAATGTAATTTTAAATGGAAAATGTTAAATTATAAAGTAATTTTAAATGGAGAATATGTTAAATTATAAAATTAAATGCAATCCTCTTATTGGCTGAAAATAGAAACATACATAGTTCTTGAAATTTTTGTTTCAAATATGTATAATTTTATATTCTTTAATATTTTTCATAATTATATATCAATTTTTGACTATATACGACTTATACTTGTACATTTCTTTATAATGTAATTTTAAATGGAGAATGTTGATAAAAAGTTATTTTAAATGGAGATATGTTAAATTATAAATTAAATGCAATCCTTTTATTGGCTGAAAATAGAAACATAGTTCTTGAAATTTTTGTTTCAAATATATATAATTTTATATTCTTTAATATTTTTCATATTATATATCAATTTTTGACTATATACGACTTGTACTTGTACATTTCTTTATAATGTAATTTTAAATGGAGAATGTTGAAATTTATAAAAAGTTCCTTACATATTGAGCCACTTTTCGGATCATAATCGTATGCTGCCACCTGACGCGTTAATGTATCGATGTAATAGAAAATATTGTCCTCGACATTCCAGGCTAATCCATTGCTTAATGTGACAGAACTTATTTGCTTTACGCATTCAAGCGTATCATCAACACGATATAATGATCCTTGGTTACGAGCTAAATCTCCATTAACTATATTTGCCATAGTACCTGTGGAAAATATATATAATTGAGATACAAATAATATTTATATTGCAAAAGAATGCATTTCTATTTCATAATATCAATTTACCGAACCAGAATCTTCCAGACGGGTCTATTTTTCCATCATTAATTCTTGTATCGTTAGAAGGAGGTTCAATAGAAGACAGGACTTTGTATGGTGCTTTCTTCTCATCCTTATCTCCAGTCCAGGTGACAAGAATAAGATCTTTTCCAGAGCCTGCTACGAGTTTGTCACTCGTATCAGCCACAGGTATAGCAACTCCAACAGGGCCATGTTCTGAAAGAAATATTTTAAAAATCATAGTATATTATCTGATCTTATAAATACACTAAACACAAATTATAAAATTTATAAATATTTATTTTAATACTGCCTATAATAAAGTCATTTATTTGAAATAAATAAATATATTTATCTATTTTGAAAATGATTTTCTTGTATATCAAATAAATATTTTTCATATCAAATAAATATTATTGGTTTCAAATAAATGATTTATTCGGCAATTTTGAAATAAATACTTATTCGAATTCAATAGATTTTTTTTAGTGTAATAATCATGATACATGTAAAAAAAGCATCTTACCTATATAAGCACTGGTTACAACACCTGTCGCAGGGTCCAGTCTACGTATATACTGATTATGTATATCGACAAAGTACAATTTTTGAGTTCGATGGTCCCAGTGAGGACCTTCGGAAAGGCCATAGGGTTCCGTCAGTCTCTCTACTTTCACAGCTTCACAGCTATAAATAAATAATTAGTGTTTGCTTATCTAAATAAAATTATATAGATGATTATCTAGCTGAAACTTTGGTGTCACCTTATCTTTATATAGATAGTAAAAATAATAATTTGAAAAATTGATTTAATTAAATAAGAAAATATTTTTAATAAATTAAATTTTATTATTTTAATAAAAAATGATAATATAAGTATATTTTATGTAAATTATATAAAATTTTTAATTTAAAATTATATCATTTGCCTTAATAATAATAAATAAGTTTGTGTAAAGTATCCTTAAAATATATATTCTTGTTTTAAAAATCATTATATGATAAAAACAAACTTATCACATTTGAACTAAAAATTATATATTTTTGAAAGTACCGCTTATATCCAATGCTTACTTGTCTCTTGTCTTTGCAATATTTATAAATAAATTTCAGCTTCAACAAGAATATTTTGCACTTTGTTTTAAGGATAAATTATCCTTTATCCAAAATTATTTGGCGCTATTATAAAAATAAAATATACTTGAATCAAGGCATTCTTTCAAGGATACTGTTTTTTCTGTGCATCTAAGCACAACATTGTGAATACCCAGCAAACACCAAGTAACAATTATATAACTGTTAGTTATAATTTCCCACTCAACAATATAAATGCATGTAACACGTGTGTTATATTGCATTTATATTGTTACAGTGGGAAATTATAACTAACAGTTATATAATTGTTACTTGGTGTTTGCTGGGTATAATGATACATCTAATTATTGCACGTTACATTACAAAGCGGATAAAACATATTTGCGCAGCTTGTAAATAGATGCATTTGACATTGTTTAAATAACATAATATCCTTCACACTCTCTTTCTTTATTATTTTATATATTTTTCTCGTAACTTTAATTAATAATTTAATATTGTATCCCCATTCCAGCAAACACCGATATATAATTGTTACATTGCTATAATAAAACGGAATATAACAGTTAATATAACGTGTACGTTACATGTAACATCCATGTAATTGTAATTTCCCACTCATAGATGTAACATTTTAATAGAACATATATTACATTGTAGTTATATTGTAATTATATACCAAATAGCACATTGATGTATTGATAAGTCAGTGCTATCTTGGGATATAATGACAATATAACTACAATGTAATATATGTAATATTAAAATGTTACATCTATGAGTGGGAAATCACAACTAACATATACGTTACATGTAGCATGCTTAAGTATATAACATTTATATACTGTGTTTGCTGGGATAATATATATAATGTAATCAATAAAACCCAGCAAACACAGTATATAAATGTTATATACTTAAGCATGTTACATGTAACGTATATGTTAGGTGTGATTTCCCACTCATAGATGTAACATTTTTAATATTACATATATTACATTATAGTTATATTGTCATTATATCCCAAGATAGCACTGACTTATCAATACATCAATGTGCTATTTGGTATATAATTACAATATAACTACAATGTAATATATGTTATATTAAAATGTTACATCTATGAGTGGGAAATTACAACTAACATGGATGTTACATGTAACGTACACGTTATATTACCTGTTATATTCCGTTTTATTATAGCAATGTAACAATTATATATCGGTCTTTGCTGGGAAGTATCCTTACAATTAGCATTAATATAAACACAATAATAACAGAACATGATATTAATCCAAATACAAAAGATTATAAAAACACAAACATAAATATGTCAGCAAATAAAATAACAGCAAGGTTCGTTACTTTCTAACTATATTTATATTCTTCGCATTTAAAAGCAATATATATATTAAAAAAAAAGAAAGAAAGAATTGCAAAAAAATTGCAGAAATGAGAATAAGTCTATTTTGCGGCGAACTTTTCTCTCTCACTTTTATCCTTTCTTCGCTTCATTAATTTTTATCGCGAAAAAAGTAAGATGTCGAAAGCCCGCGCAGATCTGTTAAAACGAATTGGAAATAAAGTTATATTTACCTTGTCATTGTGTCAGTTGCGATTGCGAGAAAAATCGAAAAATTAATCTGTCGGCAACGAAGCAACGCGTTTCGAAGAGAACGAACGACTGTTCAGAGTGAAGTGTTGATGTATTATTTTAACTCGCGCGCGGTGCGAGAAGGGATAATCGCTCGTAAACTAATAATTGCTCAATTTGCACGATTATGAGTAGCAGCAGATATCGCGAGAAGTCACGGATACGATCGTGTTGACTGGTCGACTATTTGTTGAACGCCGATAAAGCGGTACGGCGATAAAGCCGATACTGTTTCTCACCTTGAAGAGAAGGTTATCAATATATAATTGCGCTTCGCGTTATTTATTACATTACATTGTAAAATTTCGAAAAAATTAATTTATAAATAACGACGGTATAATAGATATATTACAACACATTTTGAAACATATTTAGAAAAATTGTGAGGAATTTGTATTGCGGAATATAGTCTTTCAAAGATGGAAATCTTAGAGAAATATGTAACTAAAAATTATATATAATAATATGCGTTTTTTTTAAATATATGATTTAATTTTTTTTCTTTAAATGAGTTAATAATATTATTTCAATATTACATTTAAAAAATATATTTTTTTTACATCAGAGATACAAAATATTTTTAAATGTTTCTTATAATAATACTTTAAGGTGACATTAAGAATATTAAAATTATATATATATATATATATATATATATATACAGCGTTTCTAAATAAGTGCAAAAAATTTTAAGAAATGATTCTTTGTCAAAAATTAAGGGGCGAGTTTTCATATAAACATATACTCCAATAATTCTTTCCCGAGAAGTTACACTTCTTTAAAGGAGAAGATGAAAATTAGATTTTTATTTTTTTCTTATAAAAACTATGGATTTTACGAAAAAAATAAAAGGAATAAAATTTCCAAAAAAATCAAGCTTTTTAATGCATATTTTTAGATAAACACATTCCAATCTATTAAAAAGTTCTAATAAAAAATTGTAGGGGTTATAGATGCATCCCTTATAACGATACGGGGAGATTCAAAAAAATATTAATAAATATCTTTTTTACTAGTAAAAAATAAATCCCACGAAATTTCATTTTTTTAAGTTCTCCAAAATTTAAAAAAAAATAAAAACTTAATTTTTACCTACCCCTTTGAAAAAGTGTACTCTTTAAAAAGAAATGTAAAGAGAAATATATATTTATATGAAAAAACCCCTTTTAATTTTCGACAAAGAATCATTTCCTAAAAAATTTTTCGTTTTAGAAACTTATTTAAAAATACTCTATATATCATATAAATATTATATCTAGTAAATGTATGTATAAGGTATTATAACATATTATAACATTTTAATAAAACCCGGGAAAAAATTTTTTATATAATAATATAAAATTATATAGAAATTAATATATAAAATTATACATATATATAATCGCAAAATTATATATGAATAAATATGTCCATACATAATTAGATAAAAGTACTTTTTATATAAATTATATAAATTTATATATATGCATATATATAATAAGTATTTCTCCATATAATATAAATATATATGTTTTATATATAATTTGACATGGTTATATAAACCCTTATAATTTATACCCAGCAAACACCGATATACAGGATGTTAAAAAGTGTCGCATACGCTCAGTACCATTCGATAGAGAATGAAAATCTAAAAATAAATGTCTAATACTATTTTTCGATCTGATGAATAATTTCACCGCAATTAATTATTGTAATCAGTCAATCAGCGCGAAATTACAAGAGTAAGTCAAAGGCGGGCGCGCGAAGTTAGCTGCGGCGCGGCGGCAACCGCGCTCACGTATGGTACGCAGTTTTACTTTTTCATAGCATAAACAATATTCCATTTAATATAAAAAAATTAAATAATTAATTGCCTTATAAAATATAAATGAAATAAATTTATGTTAATACATAAAAATAATTCGGTGAATTAAAATTATGTCGAGACAAAATAAAAATTCGAAATTATTATTATGTGGCGATATAATTTCAACTTATCGAATTTTTATTATGTGGCGATATAATAATAATTCCACGAAATAAAATTATATTGCGATATACAGATATTTCGGTGAATTAAAATTATGTCGAGACATAAAAATAATTCGATGAATTAAAATTATTTCGAAACATAATAAAAATTTTGGATTATTATTATGTGGCGATATAATTCTAACTTAAAGAATTTTCATTATGCGGCGACATAATAATAATTCGATGAATTAAAGTTATATCGCGACATAAAGATATTTCGGTAAAATGAAATTACATCTAAACATAATAAAAGTTCGATAAACTAAAATTATGTTTGGGTATAAAAGTAACTCTCTATTCTTATTATGTATCGACATAATTTTAATTCATCAAAATTTTATTATGTGGCGACACAATAATAATTCGATGAATTAAAATAATATCACAACATAAAAATAATTCGGTGAATGAAAATTATGTCGAGGCATAATAAGAATTTGGAATTATTATTATGTCGCGATATAATTTTTACTTATCAAAATTTTATTTTGTGGCGACATAATAATAATTCGATTAATTATAATTATATCGCGATATACAGATATTTCGGTGAATTAAAATTATGCTGCAATTATTTTTCTTATTTAATAAAAGGTAGTATGCGATGTAATGAAGGTTTGACAAAGTAAAAGGAATAAATATATTTATTCAATGGAGAATTTTTTTACATTAAATGTTGGTATTGGCCACCATTCGCTTCCAAACATTTGATTGCCCTGTACGCAACGCTTTCTGTGGCATTCTTTATATGCCGCCGCTGTACGATAGCAAACGCTCTTTGTATTCGTTCTTCTAATTCGTCCTGCGTTTCTATGCGGTTAAAATAAATTTTCTCTTTCTGCGCACCTCACAAGAAAAAATCACAAGGATTCAAATCTGGTGATCTTGGTGGCCATTGCCAGAAAGGTGCTCCACGAACCATCTAATTATTTCCATACGTATTATTTAAGTATTCTCGAACAGGTGTTGTTATAGTTAAAACAATAAAATTAATAATTAATTAAAATTAAATAATTAATTAAAACAATTTTAGAACCAGTAATTAATGATATTTATAAAAAGTTTCAATTAGAAAATTGAATTAATACAAAAATCATTTATGCGAAATAAAAATCGATTGAAAAGTATATTTGAATAAATAAAAAATTGTTGTTTTGCATTGATGTACGATATTTTATGCACTTTTTGCATGCAATTTTTATTCAAACATAATTTTAATCTACGAAAAACAATATTTATCCGTATAAAATAAAACTTCTTTAAAACTAAAAATTGCGAAAATACAAACATTGAAATAATAGCAAAGCGTCATGTGTTTATTATAAATCAGAAGTTTAGAAACTCTCAGAAGCTAGTATTTTATGATATAAAAAACATATTGCAAACTAATACTAATAGCTGTAAATTCTTTATAAGTTGTACTAAAAAAATTTAAACTTTGCATTAATTTGTTATTTAATTGAGACCTGAAAATTTTTATTAAAACAAATTATGTTTTCAAATATGTTTAATAATTTATAATAATTGTAACCTGCATTGTGCGCTGGACATCCATCATGCATAAAATTGATGTTACGTCGAAATAGCGGCATATCGTCGATAGCAGCGGGAGGAAAAAGTAAATTTGGCAACTCATCACGCAAAAAGTCCAGATAATTTAAACCATTTAATCTTTCCGGCAAGAATACTGGTCCAATCTATAGATAATTATGTGAAATTCATCATAAATAAATACACATTATGGCTTTATAGAAATTTTTTATATTGACAAAAGCAGAAATAAAAAAAACGGAATGTTTACAAATGCTAAAATAGTTATCTAAATGAAAAGCTAAAATTTAAACCAAAAATAAATACGTAAATCTCCAGTCACAAGAGAAAGACTACAAAATGGCAAAATGTTAAAATATGTATTATTATAAATTTTAAGAAGGCCTAAATTTCAAAACTAAATCATGAATAAGTTTTCTACAATTTTTTTCGCAAATCTGACAGTTTATCGTAATTAAAGAACTTACATTATTTTTAAACACTACATGCTACTGAAATTACTAACTTGAAATTTATTAAAATATTTTTATGTAAAAGTTATTTACCAGCTCATCATCGATCAAGCCAGCCCAAACATTGACTTTAAATCGATATTGAGATTTATTATCCCACGTCAAAAAAGGATTTTCAACGCCATAATAATGATAATTATGAGAGTTGAATGTTCCATCTTGCGTAAAAGTGCATTCGTCAGTCCATAGTACACGACGAGGAAATAATGGATTCTCTTTTACTGCCTCTAAATAATTTTTGTTGCCAAGCCAATACTGATACATTACCAGGGAAATAAACGACTAAAAAATTGTTTATAAAACAAAAGAAAAAACTTTATTTGTCATATTGTGCAAGAAACATCGTGAATCATGGCATATTTTATGGAAAATTATTTTAATATGATCCGTTTGTATTCATCATCCGAGAATCCATTATTTTCTCGTCGTGTACTATGGACTGATGAATGCACTTTTACGCAAGATGGAACATTCAACTCTCATAATTATCATTATTATGGCGTTGAAAATCCTTTTTTGACGTGGGATAACATTCGCGTCTGGATGTCGCACATTTGGATATATCCGCTGATATTCCCTAGCTGCGAGAGCTGCATTTTCTTCGTTCGCAAAATACAAACGGATAATATTAAAATAATTTTCCATAAAATATGCCATGATGTACGATGTTTCTTGCACAATATGACAAATAAAGTTTTTCTTTTATTTTATAAACAATTTTTTAGTCGTTTATTTCCCTGGTAATGTATCAGTATTGGCTTGGCAACAAAAATTATTTGGAGGCAGTAAGAGAGAATCCATTATTTCCTCGTCGTGTACTATGAACTGACGAATGCACTTTTATGCAAGATGGAACATTCAACTCTCATAATTATCATTATTATGGCGTTGAAAATCCTTTTTTGACGTGGGATAACATTCGCGTCTGGATGTCGCACATTTGGATATATCCGCTGATATTCCCTAGCTGCGAGATCTGCATTTTCTTCGTTTGCAAAATACAAACGGATCATATTAAAATAATTTTCCATAAAATATGCCATGATTCACGATGTTTCTTGCACAATATGACAAATAAAGTTTT